TTTGTGTTCTTTAATTTTTTTTATTTAAATTCATTCTCTCTCTCTCTCTCTCTCCCCCCTCAACTTCTTAAGTATGCTTGGATACATGCTATATCTGTGTAACTTATCTTGTTTGACCCATGGTCCTTTTCATGCCAGATGCCCTCTGACTGGTTTTTCTTCCATTTTTGCAGGGGTTAGAACGGAACAGGATTTGTACGTTCGGCTAATAGATTCTATGACAAAACAGGTGAGAGAAGTTTAAAGCTTTCTTAAGAGTTGATGAGTTGTTGAATTGGGTCTTGTTTCTGCAGGGCTTTTCTGGGTAGTTTTTTGACACTCTTCTTCTATGAGCCTCTCTGCTCTGTTATTTAAATATTCTATTCTGAGGATAAATATTTAGGACCTGAAAGCGTTTTTGTGGTTACTATCTTAAACTTGCCTCTGGACTTATAGTTCCATGTGCTGCTGTTAGGAAAAGGAGAAATGACCAGAAAGGAAAATGTTAGAGAATTATATGGAATTTATTTTTAAACCCTGGAGAAAAGCGCTCCAATGTTATTTTAGAACAATTGGAAGGATTAATTTTGTAACAAGGGTGATAAAATGAAAATAAGGTTTTAATCTTGTGGAACTAAAAATCAAAGGTGATTTACTTCCCCCCACCCCATTTTCCTCTTTCTCTCTCTCTCTCTCTCCCTCTTCCTTTTTAAAAGAGATGATTTAGAATCATCAGACATTTATTTGGGATGTAAAAGTTAAATGTGCAAAGGTGAAAAGTCATCTTGTTCTCCACTAGTCCGGATTCACCTCGCAGTCCCCCATCTCCATAATTCAAGCTCCATGCTCCAGAGGTCACCCACACCCGTCCATTTTCTCTGAAATCAGCTCCTGTTTCTTCCTCAAACCTCTGTCATCCCTTGTAAATAACATAATTACAAGCTGATCCTTGTTAAATTATTTAACACGTTTTGGACAACTTTTTGAACTACAAATGTTATCCAAACTCCCTTGAAAACAACTAATTTTTTTTAAGCTGCCTGTTAGCTGTTGAATGAAGGGTTCAGTCTCTTGGCTTTATTTTATTTTTCTAAGAGATGCATTCACTGGCTTTTCAGTGTGCTTCCTCTGTTTTGGATGAACCAGCAAATTAAGGGAACTGTATCCTTCACAAATAATACAGCCTCAATGGTAATCCCTTATAAAATGCCCCGTGCATTATTTTTTTGGTCTTTCTTTATGAAAGAGCAGAAAGAGGAATGTATTTTCTCTGTCATCACTTGGAAAAATAAAAAAATTGAAGCATTAAGGACAAAAGACTGTTTTCCTTAATGATACATTTAAGACCCCATTTCAGTTAGTTTAAGCTTTCAAGCGCCCTTCCCTCCACTCTGTTTTTGAAAGCAGAAAGTTTTTGACAAAAATAGGGTTAGATTTAAATGCCCCAACAGTAAATGAGTGGTATTCTTTTGCAGAAAACCCGATCTGACAAGCAAACGCCAGTCCCTTGACAAAGGCGGAGGCGTTTTGCCCTCCAATAATTTTTTCAATAGGTTACAAAGAAGCACGCTTTTAAACTCTGGAGCGCTCTCCAGTTGACAATGTCTTCTTATTTCCTTTGTACATACCAGCTAAATGTTTTCGGAAATCGCTGTAGGCTAATTAAGAGGATACTATGGGCAGCTCTGTAGGTTTGATTACTCTGGAATGAAGGAGAGAAAAAGAAAGAGAGAGTGAGTGATTGAGTGACTGAGAGAAGGAGAGAGAGAGAGAGAGAGACCATTTTAAAACACGCTTTTTATTAGCTATGGAAGTTGCGGACTTTTGCAGGAGTTCCACTGCTGAAAATACAAGCTTTTAATCTCTCTTCGCTGACGGAGGAGAGAGGGGGGGAAATAGCCCAGTAACTGATCAAAGAGTCAATGGCGCTGAACCGACAGTTTATGGATTTCTCTTGGTGCTACAAAATAAAAAATAAATCACATCTAAATACGCGGATTCATCCCAGGCAAAGTAACTATCACCCGAAGTGAAATGGCTTACTGCAGCAACAACAACAAAAAAACATTTGCAGACCCTCACTGCTGGTTGTATCTACGCTTACTTCAAGCTTTCCAGACAAGTCCAAGCTTTTATCGGGGAAATCTTTGGAAAACCAGGCCCACTCCCCGATTCCACGACGAAGACTTTCGCGGGCTTTGGCAGGACGCCACTTTCCCAGCATAGCGAGCACCAAAGTGGCTTTAAACACCGGTTAGGTAAGGGAGAAACTCTTTTCCCGAAAGCTTCTGGCATCGAAAAGAATGGAGATGGAGGTGCTTCGTGCCTTTCCCCCTCCCGTCCTCTACTTATTCTGCACCGTGCACAGTGCCGATTGCAACGAAGGCAACCGAGCTGGTAGGAATGGGAAGCAAGTGTGGCCTCACTGAGCACAGACGGCTGAGGCCTAGGCTGCGAGAAAGAGAAAGCAAGAAAGCTGGGAGGGAGGGAGGGAGGGGGGGAGCAAAGCAGGAGAAGCACCAGAAGGAGAAAGGGAAGGGAGAAACACGAAGAAGAGAAGGGGGGGGAGAAGGAGAAGGAGGAGAAGGAGAAGAAGAAAGAAAGAAAGAAAGAAAGAAAGAAAGAAAGAAAGAAAGAAAGAAAGAAAGAAAGAAAGAAAGAAAGAAAGAAAAGAAAGCTAATGAATCCTCGTGCAAGGACTCGTGTTGATGCACAGTCAGCCCTGGCCTCCCGGAGGAAGAGCCGGGCAGAGATTGCAGGGCCGCCGCTGCTCCGCGTCTCTGCCTCAGTTGCCGGGAAGAGAAGCTGGTGCGCTCAGGGGAAGCTGCCGGGGCTCTCGCTTTCTCCGGGGGAGGCTGGGCTGGGGCGGGGGAAGGGCAGGAGCGGCGGCTGGAAGGCGAAAAGCTTCTTTATCAATCGCGTTTTGCAGTGCCTGCTGCTCTCAGGCCAGTCAGGGACTTCGGGGAACCGTTCCCCGAAGTCTGGAGAAGGGGAGGGGGGGAGAAAGGCAGAGAGAGAGGGGGGCAGTGTGTGTGTGTGTGTGTGAGAGAGAGAGAGAGAGAGAGAGAGAGAGGGAGAGAGAACGCACCTATAGCTCCGCACCATCTGTTAGAGCCTCTGCTCAAAACCCATTCAACCGTGTGCCCAGACACACTTGCCTTTTTTACCCAAGAAAAATCATTGTTAGCACTTTCAAAATAAACACCAGATTGCCCATTAGCACTTTTCTTCCCCAAATATCAGACCGATAATAGCCATATTGTAGTGCACGCGGCTGGGATTCCTCAAGGCGGTTCGGCGCTTCTTTGATCGGGGGAAGGAGGAAGAGAGGTAGAGTTCAAGGACTTGAAAATAAACTGTAATCTGCTCTATATAGAGAGCGTTCTTCGAAAAGAAATGCCTAGTATAAGGGCCGGAGCAGTAGCCGTGCTTTTTCTCTTTTATAAAAGGCCTACTTCGTTGCACCTAGTCCTTCTGGGCCCATCAATTTGCACTAATCTTGGTTGGGGGGCAAAAGGCATCTGGGCATTACCAAAAAAATTACATGGTGTCTGATTTGTAGGTTGCTAAACCTAATTGAAATACTGTCCGTGTCCTTTAAAATGACGCTGTGCGATTTGTGTTGGGGACAAGGAAGAAAGGGACATGGATACTGATCCTTGCATGAACAATAGCCATAAAATCCATCTAATTAGGCAGTGACAATCTTTAAACTTCACAAATCGGCAGGGCCTGTTTGTCAACCGTTGAGAATGTTCTAAAGATTTGGCTTCAAAGACCATAAGAATTAATAATAATTTTGTATAAGTGAAACATTGAGAACCATTGCTATCCAAAAGGCACTGTGGTTGAGTCCAAAAGTCAGATCAAAGTTTTGTGCTTTGAGGGAAGAAATAATGTTTCTTTCTTGTGCTGCTTGTTAAGCCAAACCTCAGGAGGGTATAATAAAAAGTATTATACTCTGATTCTAATTGGAATAACATGTTACCACAAAATTGTGTTTTGTATATTACATTACATTACATGCTTTTATTTGCAAAGGTAGATTGGGAAGAAAGAAAATAAACCCACCTCAGTTTTTGGCTCTGTCAAAAATGTGCATGTTAGAAGAAAACCTGTCACAATTAAATAGTTCCCCATAGGGAATGCCTACTTTGGAAAAGACTTGATCTTAGAGATCTGAATCGTTCGGTGCTCCATTTTTAAATTTTATTTATTTATTTATTTGGATTGTTTAGTAAACCCTAATAGGAAGAACTAAGAATATATAAGGGTGAAATGACATTTTACATTTTAACTGGGACTTCTTCTTCTTCTTCCTCCTCCTCCTCCTCCTCCTCCTCCTCCTCCTCCTCCTCCTCCTCCCCTCCTCCTCCTCCTCCTCTTCCTCTTCCTGCTGAAATAGTTCTATCCAGCCAGATTTCTAGCTGACAGTACTGTAGGAATGTATGTCTTACTTGTATTTTTTAAATTACATTTATTTAAAAACCTGTACCTGCTAAGGTCTGAATTTATGTAATGAATCAGTATAGAAGTAGAGGGAACATACCTGAAATATCTGCTTACTTTTATAGGGATCAGTTGAAAAAAAAAAGAGTCTTATTCTCTCAACAAAGTGGAACTGTAGCAGCTTTCAGTGCAGAGAATATGAGGGAACTAGAAGAAGCAAGATCAGTAGGCAGAGAAGGCAGTAAAGAAAGGAATCTAATTCCTTGACTTAAAGTCAAGTAATTGTTATTAATTATGCTCAGATTCTAACTCCTTAAAAGATTAAGGCTGTTGCGTTTCATTCTAGGATAATGTGGTTAGGATGAGGATGATGGGCTGCCTAGCCTGAGAAAAGCTTCATTGGTCTTGGTGTTCTCTCTTCTGCCTGCCTGGCCTGACTCAGGAAGGCAGGAAGGAAAATAATGTGTGACATTGACAAATGGTTCTTTGACAGGTAAACAAAGAGTGAAATAGATCATTAAGAGAAATATTTTATCCTCCACATATCCTCTTCAGTCCCCACACCTAATTTT